TTAATACTTGTATAATTTGGCATTTAAATGTTTTCACCTCCCTTTGAGATTGGCTGCTTTAGGAAGTGCAGTATGGACCACAGGTGAGCTGTGCCTTCGGGTGTGACAGGTATTATTTATCTGTTCATTTTGCTAGCACAATTTCCTTGCAGACCTCATCATATAATGACTAGACTGCTCATTGGGAAGCGGGTTTTCCCAAAGTCAGATTGGCAGGGATATTTTTCTCCATCTTTTTCTGTAGTTCAGGGGCCAAGCTGTGTGTATCACTTCCTGGAATGATGTAGGTACTTCTCACCTAAAGGCTTTCCTTCCACATCAAGGGCTGGGGACAATGATGACATTTTACTACCTTTTTTTTTTTAATTTTTATTTCTTCATTGTATTTTTCTGTGTTTGAGGTATTTGGCCTAGGTAATTCTCGAAGCTTTACCAAAGTATACCTGAGTGAAATGTAATAGCTGTGACAGAGGTGGCCATGGGAATGATCCAGCATCTTTACATATTTACTTCTACTTGTGCACAGCATTCCCAAATACTTTGAGGTTTCAGTAGATTCACTCAATTCCAATGCAGATTTGTTCACATAGTCTGTCACTGATCCCTTCCAGACAGTGTATAAGTACATAAATATAACATAAAGAAAATAATATTAAGTTCTCTGCAACATAAATTCAAGGAGTAAGTAGTGCTAGCCTCAATTATATACTTTAGGATATTTTTACTTAGGACATGCCAAAGACCTTATTTCTGCAGCCTAGCAATTTTCATTATGCAATAATCACAACCTCAAGAGTGAAGACTGCACTACATCTAAAGTATCTTAAAAAATTAGTGTAGTGTAGTCTATTTCTTTTTTCCTCATGGTGTCACTGTAGGATAAAGTTTATGCACTTTTTGGGTATTCTCTATACAGGAGCATATTTCCTTTGTCTCTGACTTTCTGCATTTTCTATTATATGTTTGAAAAAGATGGTAACAAATATACTGCCTTCAAATTTGGACATGGTCACTCAAGCACTGACCTATCCTTAACACTGCATGAATATATTTTTTTTTTTAAAGAATCTAATATTAGAATACATATAACTTTGGAAAAAGAGCTGGAGGATTTGAGCTGTTCTTCTGACGTCTTGAAGGTAGGAATTGTCATGTTTAAAAAAAAAAAATTACAAGAACACACATGTCTTGCAGTTAAGTGAGCTTATGCCATTAACTCTGCATGAGGAAGAAATTTAAGACCCTCTGCTTCCATCTAAGCTTCACTTTTTCTTTTGTGGTTGTAAAGTGTTTTTAATTCAGCTTGCTTTATTGATAGAAAAAGTAGATTTCCACCCCCATTCCAACCCCCCCCCTTGTAGGCAAGAGGGGAGAGAGAGTGAGAATTTTTTTCATTTACATAACAATAGCATTTTTGTCTGTCTAGTTTTTACCACTTTACTCAAACCCACATTTTCAAATCCAGGCATTTGTCTTCCACAGGGGAAGGGTGAAAGATGTGGCACTAGTAAATGCATACAAACATTAAATAGGACTGAAGAGAAATTTGTTTGTGCTATTGTATAAGAGTGGGAGCCAAGTGTGGAGGTGCCGCTTCCTACTCCTTCACTCAGAGCATATCCTCTCTGAAAGGCAAGGGCCACACACTGTTTCCCTTTTCTGCCTCTTTGGTAGGACAGCAGTGTTCGGGCTAGTTGAATTCAGGATCGTAATGAGGATGAGTGTTATTGTCTAGTTAGTAGGAAAGACATCATCCAGCAGTTCCACAACATCTGCATCCTAATTTGAACTCTGGCTTCACGTGAATCTTGACTGTTAGTCTCAGTTAGCTGAGCTTGTGATCAGCCTCTGTCTAGCTTGGGTTATATGCTCACAAGTGTGTAAGTTAACTAGAATCAGCGTGTTCAAAAGTGGACTTCATAGCAGTATGGTCAGTTTGCTAGTATTGCAAAGAAGTTGGTTCACCTAAAGAAGTTACAGATCACTAAACAGTTACAGAGATTTTCACCTGAAGCCTGAAACATAACATATCCCCCTGTTATCCTCCTGTGTTTTCCAGTGAGCTGCAAAACCTGTCAATTTTTCCATCAAGTTAAGAGCCCTTTTTTTCTCCCACTGTCTTCACCTGGTCTCTTTACATGAGATACTGAATGTTCCTCCTCTTAGATAAGTGTCCATATCTAAATATTCTCTAATCTTTATGCCCTGTCTTTCAGTTATGTGCTTGTCACTGCCACATATTTCCTCCATAGAATCAATTGTTCTTTGGGCTGGTAGTTCGGAGACAGTTGAAGTTACTATTTCTAGACAGTTACTATTTCTAAGATGTCTTGATGACATCTTAGACATCATCTTCCAGTGAAGTGTAAAGCGGGGCTGCTGAACAGCACACATTGAAAGAAATCTAGGGCAAAAATCAAGAGAGTTCTGCACATAGCACAAACTGCCTGTTTTAATCTAGAATGGAAGTTATAAACATCACAGTTGGTCATGAAAGTTTATTAGTTGTCTACCATCTTGCTTTCCTTTCCAAAGGACTGACACAATCTTCTTCATGTCCTGATAGCTCTCTTCCAATGCCATTTTTTGGTGCTGGGGTGTTGGCTTCAAACTGCAAGGCATGTGTAACATTACGGTTCTGCAGGAGGAGCAACCTATTATAAACTTACTGGCAGAATACCAGAACCAGATCTCCAGAGAGTCTCCTCCTGCCATCTGTGAGCAGTAGCTCCTCTAGCTTTTAATAAACACCAGGCCAGGATGGAGGATTCACCATGTCCAGTCTGAAATGCAACATCTGCTTTAGGAAACCCTACACAACACAGAATTTCCCTGTTGTTTCCTCAGGAGTTTCTCCAGTCCTTAAGCCTTCTCCCAGCAGCAGTATTTTTGCCTTGCATATTAAAGACCTCACTACCCAAATAATTCTCAAAATTCTTTGTCACCCACACTTACCTCACTTTGATTCCAACTTCCTTATCTTCTCATGTCAAATGCAATCTACTTCACTATCATGTCTCTTTCTTTGCCCAATCTTCACCCTCCTACTGTAAGGCAGTTGTTGCAATTAACTCCTGGTTTCGCAACATCCAAATGCTCCAGTTTCTTCACATACTCTCCTTGACTGCTTCTGCTTCTCTCTTACCTTGAGCAGAGGTCAAGAATAGCAATTCTCCTCACTTTCTGATCTCTTGGAGGTGTCTGGCTTTTTCCATACCTTAAGACTGGCCATCCTCCCTTTACTAGCCTATAAACTTCTACCATTGTAGGAACTTGAATGGAAAGTCACCTTGACCAAAAAGGACTAAAGATCAAGTGGTAACTGCTTGGGTTACTGCAGGTTTGTGGAAGCCTCTTCGGATCTGAAGAAAGGAATGCTGAACCACTGTTCATGCCAGAGTAGATCCTATGGACTTCTCTCCAACTGGCTTACACTAGTATCAGTTAGTGAGAGAAATGTTTCCCTCTAAAATCCCAGGTTCCTGCAAACAGAGATGTGCCTTATGCCTGTTAATTCTTCTCTCTCCTTCCCATTTCAATTTATGTCTGCTGGAGGTACTCAAATTTTTCACTGCCCCACTGTGTCCCAAAACTTTTATCTTCACACTCATTCCCTGCCCCACCAGTCTTTCATCTGTCTCATCTTTCATCAGTCTTGGTAGCCATCCTCAGTCTCCTTTGCCCCAATTATCTCTCCCAAGCAAGTTCAGCTGCTTAATGTGCCACCTTACCTGCTTGACATGTCTTTGATGAACTGAGATCAAATTCTTCCTGCAAGTTGACAGTTCTTGCTGTTGTTTCACCCTTTTTCCTCACATCTGCTTGGAGTTATGCTGTAGCTGCTGTCTCAGCCTTTAATTTTAGGGGTCACTTAGCTACATAAGAGGTGCCCCAGTTTTATAGCCTGAAAATCTGGACACTTTGTACTTTGTGTGCCTGAAGTGAACGTGTTTTAACATAACTGCCTGTGTGAGCCTTTACGGGGCGCAATTAAATATGGGAAGGCAGCAGTTCAGTAGTGTATTGAAAAGCCAGTTAATTAAGGACTTTAAACTATGAAGTATTTACCATCTGTAAACAAAAATCTGTACTTTAAACCAAAACTGTCTCCACAGCAATGCCTGGGTTTATGCAGAGCAAGATCCAAAGCCCAATGAAATCAGGGAAAGGGGAGAGGAGGATCATTCACTGATGTCAGTATCCTTTGGATCAGGGCCCTTACTTCCTTTAGCAATGATAAAACGATGCACAAAGCCCTGGGACTGTACAACTTCATTTTATTTTGTGTGCTTTTATAGGATATAAATAAATGACAAAATTACAAAATTTATAACTGGAAGCCCAAGCATATTTACATAAGTATTTGTTGCAGTGAGGCTACTATTTACTGTTCTCCTATACAGTTTTCCTTTTGGTACCATATTTTTAGTGTTATTTTTTTTACTGTCCATTGACTACGTACATATCAACAGTGAATAGGCAAAAATATGTACAAGGAACTATTTTGTTCAAGTAAATTGAATACTGTATTAAAAGTATGTCATCACTCAGCTCTATGATTAGGTTTAACTAAACCATATACAATTACCAGTTTCAAACCAAGTTCAATTATCCATTTTTTTTGGAATTTACCAACTGATGATTCTAACTGAAAACCTCAGCTGGATATGAAATAATAATTAAAAAAACATTAAGACAACCACACAATTTATCAATATCTCTATAAGGAACTTCAAAATTATTCACAATTTGACTGGATAGAACAATATACGTTAAAATGTCATTTTCCTCCTATAGTGATATTTGTACTGTTATAATTTCAGTTCTACATAAATATACATCATGGTATTATACAAATACTCCACAGACATTAAAAAAATTAAAACACTTCAAAGAAAATGTAAGTAAATCTTATTTAACCAAATATTAAGCAAATGCTTAACAATTTTGTTCCATGAAAACATTTTTATTACTTTGGAATTTTTTTCTTTTTCTTGCTGTTTTTATTTAGAAAATGTTTTGCAGTAGATTTTTATCAATACAAGTAAGCTTTCTGTGACAGAAATCTTGATAGCAAAACCCAAGTTTTTGATGTTTTTTAGAACCACTGAGATTATTTTAAAAAAATACTAGTCAAATTCATGGCTACGGCAATGTTGAACTGCATAAGCTATATGTAGGTGCAGTAGAATGACCATTCCAGTCTGATTACAGGGAACATCCAGTGCACTGATGCTACAACTCTTATAATTTTCACAATGCTGCATTAGCAGTGGTTTCCTTATCTTTAAAATAAACAATATTTTTCATAATTATCTGACTTCCATAAATATTAATATGTTTTCCTATAGTACTTCTCTTCCATAAAAATATCTCATAAATGTCTTCTGTGCATTATTAATACCTTTTTCTAGCCATTAATAAAACTCTGATCCTTAGTTACAATGTAAGAGGTTCCTGTTTCTGCAGAGGATCAAAGGACACCAATGATTACATATAAAACCAGCGCACACAGAAATCAGGGTGCCTAATTTCTTGTCACTTTAATGAGTTCTTTATTCAACACAGTAATTATTAATGAATTCAGTGGTTTCACAAATACTCTATTAATTCTGGTTCTATTTCAATTAAAAACTGCCAAGATTTAAATAAAAAACCAATCAAATAGTCTACTCATAGGCAGCATTAATGTTAGTTTAGAGACTTTTTTTTTTTAAAAGCAGAATTCTAAAATAAGAAATCAAAGAAAGCACTGTGGCAGAGTCACAAGGGAGAACTGCGTGAAAAATAAGGTTTCTCACTCCTCTTGTGGACTGTAATTTTAAAAGTCTTCATGTAGTGTCATTCTTCTGTCAGTGCTGCAGGAAGAAGAACATCACCAGAAATAACTGTCAGCCTTTTTTGTTAGTTACAAGGCCACTCATACAGTGCAGTCTTCCTCTCTGCTGGATTGAAATGTTGCCATAAAGGAAAGGCTGTGCTGTGACTGCTTGGCGTGCAAGGCACAACAAGGAACAGGGGGACAGTTTGTATCAGAAAATTGTAGTTTCATACTTGGTATTAATGCCTCTTTTGGCTTCTTGTCCAGGTTCAACAATCCACGGTAGATTCGCAAGAGTCTTTTGTTCAGATGGATCTATCTGCTTTAAGATAAATGCAAACATACAGACGGGTTACCACCTCTGTGCACAGCAGAAGACTTTTCTTTAAACGAATAGAACAAATCCTGTATCAACAAAGTCCTACGGCAGCAAGAGCGGTGGCCTACACTTCCACGGACTCATGTTTGCCCTCTTTGTCCTGTTTAGATCAGAGCTGTGTCTACTCCCAAGCTCTAGGGCATCATAGTTCATTATAGCCATGCTTGATCCTGGGAAGTCCTTTTGCTACAGAGACAGATGATGGCATCAGTCTTTCTTAAAATTTTATGGAGAAAGATTCTGTGGCAATGGATGACAAAGTGTACAGTCATACATTTTATTCCTCTTCCTCTCATTCAAGAATTAAATATCACAGAGTACAGTTCTCACTTTATAGCCAATGAATATGATACAGTGTGTGGTCATTTTTCCTCCTTCCCGCCCACATCACCCTGTGTCTATATTCTCATTTGATTTAAAACAGTTTTCATTATTTTTTTAAAAGCTCTATTATAAAAAAATATTTCTCTGTAATCTGTGCACTTCAGGAGGGCACTTCAAAGGCAATCAGTATGTAGGCTCCAATGAGCTTGGATTCTTAGGAGTGTGGGGTTCCAAAGAAAATATTGGAAAGATATTTTGAATCCAGTTTTTGGAACAGGAGGGTCTGCTGAGGGTACCACCACCACCACAAAAAAAAAAAAAAAAAAATTTGCTTGGTCTGACAAGATAATGAGGATATATATGCAGTGATCATGTACCAAACAAATTTGATCTGGATTTTATTTCTCAGTAGGAAAGATCAGGGAAGTTCATGAACCTGCAGAGTTTTACAGGTATGCATTGGCTGTGATCCTCAGCACTCAAAAGAGCACAATATATTGGAATTAGCTCTGCAATTACTACAGAAGACATATGCACACTAGCCAAGCAACATCTTAAACTGGAGGAATCTGGAATGAGCAGTTTTTCAAAGTGGGTGCCCGTGCTGCAGTGACACAACCCTACCAGCTGATAAGTGGAGGTGGCAAGACAGAGACATGGAGCATTTATGACTCAACAGGTATACTTATTTATATGGCTTCTAGTACATCAATTCTTCACTGCTGAATTTCATTTTTTTTTGCATACACAACTACCTTCTACTTACCACTGACTTCCGAATACTAACACGTGGTTTGGGAATAGGTTTGGAGGGTTTATTTTCAAAGCTTTCTGGGAGGGTTGAAGAATGGCCCCCTTTTCGTGCCTGTAGTGCAAGCTGATAGGCCACCTCAAATGCTTGTCCTAGTGTAAGAATGATTTCATAAGCTAAATTCTGGAACAAAACAAAAACAGTTAAAACTGTAGTGAGGTTGAATTATTGTCAGATACATGAAGTGGGGTAGTAGTGTCTACAGAATTGATTTGTAATATCAATAATTAAAATCACGCTGGTAATAACTTAGTCGCTGTAATATTTACATCTGTCATTTGATTTGTCATTGATTAAAAACAATCTATATGTAATTTATTTTACTGAAAGTAATTACTTCTAAAAACCTTGAAAACATTGTCTCACTGAACATAAAAGCAGGAGTGGGCGAGTATGTGTCATTTCTTTTTAGAACAAGCACGTTAACTCCCCACCTTCCTAGCTCACCCTGTATCTGCCATTCTCAAGATCTCACCCGTTTTGCACTACTGCACCTATGTGACATTCAGCCTTGCCCTATTTCAGCACAGCTCTGCTGACCTGCCCTCCTCCAGAGCTGGCAGCCTGGTGTGCTGCGTCCCCGGGTGTGTGCCTCGGGATGCTCTGTGCTCTCACTGGGAAGCACAGGAAGAGCAGGCAGCATAGGTGTGATGCTTCCAAAAAGACAAACAGGAAGTGGCTGGAGTGCATGCTCTGCTTCACAGATGCCATCCGCCTAGGCATGCAGGGAAACCAGTGCTCCACTTTGGATGCATGTTTCAAGTACTGGGGAAACTTTCTCCTGATTTTGTTTTCTAGAAGTGAAAATGTTTGATCTTAAACTGGCATGTCAGAATACTCTTGTAAGAGAGGTGGGGTGAGTGTGTACGACCAAAGAAGCCAGTCTCTTAAGGCTAAGATCAGTTTGTTATTTTAGGTAGAATTCTTTAAGTTCTTGTTGCGTATGTGGAAGAAAACCTGTTTGGAATGTTTATAAAGCATGAATGAGGAACCAGGGGATTGATAAAAATAGTTTTTCAGTACAGTTTTCTATCAACAAATAAGCATCTGTGAGTTTCAAATTTGACCTCAATCTAAACCACAAGTGAATTTCTATGGTTATTTTTCTTCAGGTTTGTGGGTTTGTTTTAATGTATTATTTCTAGGCTCCTACTAGAGCCTATTTCTAGGCTACTAACTTCACCATAATATTTTGAACCCCTATAGAGAAATTGCAAGCCTTCAGACTTGCCTCATGTCCTACAGTCTCCTTAGAATAATTCATAAGTCTTCAATGCAATTCAGAAGTTACTCTCTCATTCCTCAACCGCTCAAGCCCATAGTTGGAAGCAATCCTCCACTGCTTTGAAACTAGGTGACCCCTTAAAAATCCCACTTTCTGAGAGAGTTTTAAATGAGATATGCCTTTAGTTAGTCAAGTCTAACTGTTGAGTTTGCAATAGACCAGGAAACAATGCAAGATACTTGGAAGTACACTATCTGCCCTTCAATCATTAAAACACAGTCAAAAGGATAGGCATTTTATTATGTCCTATACTGTATTTTCACTGTAGTAATGAAGAAATTCCATCCCTTTGTTATCACACATGTACATTGAGATAGTATAGGGTAAATTCAGTGTACTTAGCTCATTATAAGAGCTTCTTGTAAAGGTGTCAGCCCTGGTCTTTGTTAGGTCAGACAGAAAACAATTATAGTCCTCTACTGGGATTTGCTCTCAGCTGTTATGACCACAGTCACAACAGCAAGCTAGCCAGAGTTTCATAGCTTTCCAAATAAAAATGTCTGCCTGATTTGATAACAGTAGTCTCCAAATTGTTTCTTCTTTAACTTAAGGAAACTGTCCAGGAAAGAGAAGCACTGAGGATGCAGTTTGCCAGTGGAGCAATAAATAAAAGACTAAAGAGACTACTTTAAGTGCCCTGCCTTTTAGCAGAATACTAGCTATGGAATTGAGACCGAGTATAATTGTTAAAAACGTACAGAATAATACTATTTGAAATGGAGTGTGCCTATTAATATGACAAGAATATTATTCTAAAGACATCTTAATCAGCTGTCATAACAGCATGATAGTCTACTATATCATCATGGAATTGTCTACAGTGGGTATAATTATTGCTTATATTTATTGCTATACAATATATATTGAATACATCAACAGGACAGGGTCTAGTAATGGCTTGGAGAAAAAACAGACTGTTATACTAGTGGGACTGAGAAAATGTGCCATCCAGTGTGGCATACAAAAAGGTCATTGAAAGACAGGCCTGAAAAGTTCTGAAATAAGAGTATAGACAAGCAGAGAGTTTGCCGTTTTGAGCTATAAATCTAGTCTGGGTCCTGCATCTTATCAGAAGTCACTATGATTTGTTTTCTTTTGCAGTCTCTAAAACAACAACAACAACAAAAAAATAGGCCTGCCTGGAGCCTGAAAGCCAGGCAGAACATGTAGCTGTTTCTATGGTTAACAAATATTAAAAATATAGAAAATAGAACATTCACTGTTCTGTTCGATATTTGAAATGTAAACTGAACCATAACCTGTACATAAATTTCATACACTATGTACTGTGGTAGAGCCTTGAGAAAGGGAAGTCTGCAAATGGAGGCAAGGAGGGCTTTAAAACTGTATGTTGTACACTTTAAAAAAGTTATCTGAAAAAATGTATTTCAAAAAAAGCTCAGAAGTCTGGTTCGAGGATTTTCTCATCTGTAATACTGGGAGAGGAAAATGAGGATTAGAGTTGGTACAGATCCTTGCAACAGCTATACTGGAGAGGCAAGGCTTCCTTTGGGGATTTGGGTGGAAAACCAAACCACAAAATCTGTTGTGGAAATTCTGGTGGAGTGAGGAGACTATTCAATTTTTTCACAGGGACAAAAGGAACGAAAGAGAGCTGCCTCTCTGAAAGATGCTTAGCACAAAAGCTGTAGATCACCCCATCAAGCTCCTTAGAAAGGAGGCAGAACTTTTAGGTCCATGGTGCTTCTGAGACTGCTACAGTCCCATTCCTTGCTTGGAATGACAGAGAAGTAAAGTGAGCAAGCTAACACCTTTAAGCAAAAATTTCTGGGACATGAGAAATTGAGATCAGTTGCCTTGTTTGCCATGTGATGTTGTACCGTTTAACGCCTCAGTGCAAGTCTGAGTCAGGATTCTTCAGTGGCTTTAACTCAACTAATCTATTACAATGGCTAATTGTTTTCTTACATTTCAAGTGACTACTTTTTTTTTTTTTTTTTAAACTGTGTAAGTTGCAGCAGGCACTGCTCCTTCATTGTATTTTCAGGCTTCTATAAAGCTATGTTGAGGCTTCAGGGCTATTTTAAGAAAGAGAGCAAGATTCCGATCTTTTGAGCTATTAAAACTTAAATGTCACTTGCAAAGGAATTTTTTGGAAAAAACTAACACTTTGCCTTCTTGGAAAGCACTTTTGATATAATGAAGATTTTATGGCATTTTGCTTTTCGATGCTGATTTTTTTTTTCTTTTTCCTTCTTTAATATCAATGTAAAACCTGGTCTTTTTCAAAGACTGAACTTACTGAAGAAGCTTCCTCTGCAGTCTTGCAGATGATTAGTGTGAGCTACCCATCACATTGGGTGTGTAGGAATGTCAATTAGGACACGCTGTGTTCAAAGTACCAAACTTGAAATTGCAGTTGGCAGAATTGATCAGAATGGAATATATGGATTCTTTATTTGAAAAATCTGAAAAATCGCAACCCAGTTTAAAATATCCATCCCCCTAGGATGAAATCAGTTCCCTACTGCTTAGTCATACTAGAGTCTTCAAGGCCAAAGGTTGAGGATTTCTGCTATAAAATGACAAGAAAGGGGGGTAAGTTACTAGTAGGGAGTTCTAAGGGATCCAGAGCTGACATATATATACATTTCTTTAATCAAGTCTGACAGTTTTTCAATTTTGATTATAGAGTTTTAACTCTGAGTAGACAAGTTATATGAATAGTCACTCCTAAAGACTAAGTATCCGTAATGCTGGTAGTTGACATGTCACTACACTAAAATGCTTTCCTATCTGGAAAAAAAAAAAGTTCTTGCCCACATTTCCTGAGGAACTGAAGGACCTAAGAATGATTTTTCTTTTCCCCTTATGATTGCATATATTGCATTACCATAGTATTTCGATTTAAGACGCATCTCTTTTTACACCTTACTCTTTTTAACCTTTGACTTCTATATATGGACAAATGGGTAGGACTGTTTCTGTTAGCAAACTGGAAGAAGAGAAGGTTAATGTGTTAGACTTTAAATAGAAAATTTAATTTACTGTATGCTTGCTTTCTGAATATCCAGCTATTTTTTATGGAGCTTGTACTTGAATCAAAAATGCTAGATCCTGAGAAATAAAACAATACAAAAAGAGAATATCTGAGTACATAAAACCCCACTGAGGATAATATTGCAGGAGAAAACTAAGTTAAGACTGACATTAGCGCTTCTATATTGCTTAAAAGTCATTTAAAGAGCTTCAGGTATTAAATGCTCCATCTAAGGTAAAGGAAGTGAGCAAAATGTTGTAATTATTCCTGGATCACTATTCTTTCCTTGCTAAGCAAAGAGAAAATTAATTTCATCTGCTCTACCTGGGTCTATGTTTGTGCTTGATTATTAAACCTATAAATGAAACTGCAGTACTTTGAAACCATTAAGATCAAGAGAAATAATGACCTCACTCAATCAGTCTAATTTCAGCTGATTCACTTATCACTAAAAGCTATATAATAATATATGTAATAATCTTATTGACCATGGTCTACCTATTTTTAACACAGTTTTGATGTTCTTCTACTCCCCGTGGACACTAAAATGTCAGCAGAGAATTGAGACAACATAAGCACTGAAACAAAAGGCTAAAATTCCCTCTGACCTACCTTCCTGTACATCTTATTATTTAAACTCTTCTACATGCTGTTGCTCTGCTAACTTGACTATTTCCCCAGTCCCAGATAAAATGCCTCAGTTCTGACATCTCTATTCTTTTGATTTAACTTTTTTATATTCATGACAGCATGTTTCAGGAATTCATACACATTATACTATATTAAAATTATAGCTACCACTTGTTTCATAAAATTTAGCTGAAAACAGCATGACTGATTAATTGATATGTGTTTCATGATCTCTTGAAACACTAGTAGTCTGTGCATCACCATCTGAGAAGCATAAATATAGGAAGAACTAAGTAATTTTCCATCAAAATAACAGTTGTAAAGACTTTTGCTGAAATAACATTTTTGTGATATTTAGGCAAGAAGACTGGAAGAAGGAAATAAGAATTAAAGCATTAATTTGCTATTTCCAAAATAAACACAATCTTTTTGAAAAGGTAAAGGTGCTATTAAAATAACTTTTCCCCAAATTTACTTGTTAAGCTAAAACTTTCCTCAACATGGCAGAGGAGAGGAGATTCCCCCTGAGCAGAAGGATCATCTAACACTAATAATCTGTTGACGCTTACAGGGGTAACCTCTTAGCCAGTAACACAAAAAGAACAGATTGCTGTTATCACAGATGTTTCAAACCTTTCAGATCCAGTGTGCTTGCCAAATATTCCTAGGACCTCTTGAGATATGTAATTACCTACCTACATGGTCTCTGTGTTTCAGTTCTCTAGGTAAAGTAAATACAAAACTTTTCATACATTCACTATGCATTTGCAGAGGAAGCTTCAGTTTTCCAGTTTGATTCAGTTCAATGTAATGTTAAAAAAAATCTAAACAATATTTGAAAAGACATTGGAGTTTTTTGGACTGATCCAGTTTAACACTGAAGTCATGGAACAGCAGGGTAAGAAATCTGAAGAAATCACTTATGATGCTAACATCTGACCTCTGGTCCAATAAGCAGCCCACATCTGCTTCATGAAGGTGGGATGTGTTTAAGTAAGTTTAAGGGTCCTCCCACAAGAGTGTCCAACTCTCTCACCCTTTGTTAGCTGGCATGGCATGGCCACATGAGGGTAAAACCAAAATGCTGGATGTCACCAAAACCATCCTTCCCTGACTTGCACGGGCAGTACAACACAGTAAAAAATGCAGGACACCCTGCAAATTTAATTTAATCTAAATTCCTGAACCTACCTCTTAACAGGATTGAGCACTGTGTATAATGCACATTGATTTTGCTCTTATTTATTTAGTTTGGGTTGAGATTTCAGATTGCGTGGCCAAACTTGCTTGCTACAAACTTCTTGGAAGGCTATAGGTTAGGTTAGAAGAACTACATGTCAAGACTAGTATGAAAAGCTATTAGCTAAGTTTACAGTTAACAGCTGAGATTACAGAGATGAGTTATTTCAGATGAGAAATTAGATAATTTCAAAAAAACCCTTTGCTCTTCTCCAGAAATGTCCTTTTACTATCCTCATAGTAAATTAATCTTTCCATGTGTTAAATGAATGATACCTTCCATTAATCACCATACACCCTGAAAATGTTTTAATGGAGTTAAAGAACTATTACTAGTACAATTATTGTATTGTATTGTAAAATGAAGTATCTTCTATAAACTGACCACATCAAACGCAGTGAATACATGGCAGTAGTGGTGATTAGTCTTCAAGTCTTTAGTGATGTATGCAAATGTAGAAAGGTCTTCAGGGTCTTGTGCAGCACAGGAAATGTTACGGATTTCATGTTCAGCAATAATATTCTGTTTAAAAAAAATATTTTCAGTCAATGTAGGAATTAAACTTAAAAGAGCTGTAAAAGATGTGGTTTTATATTTGCATTTATGTTCATGTGCTGTATGGAAGTATTTCAGAAATTTCTTAATAAGAAGAGATTTAAAATACCCCATGTGTGACCTTACGTAGGTCATTGGAATTCTGATCTTCTCCATTGACAGCTAACATCGCCAATAATCCGGTAGGAAACCATTACGCTCTGGAGTCTTCTATTCCAGAGTCTTGCATTTGTACAGTTTATTCAATATTCTATGACAAAGAGACATCTTTCCTGGCATACAGTTGTAAATACCATTTCAAAGCACTATACAAGCATCTCATGGTGCTCCTGGTTTTCTGGATAATGATCACTATGTGACACTTTCATTCTACTGGCAGACAGGATCTGGTGAAACCCAAGAGGCTCAATATCCAGGTTTTTACAAGCACTGTTTCAAAAATTTCAGCTATGTTTTTTCAAGAGAAAAAAAAAAAATCACTAAACATCACGTATAATTAATACCCTGAGCTCTTGAAAGGCTTCTGCTTAGTAAAAAGATAACTACAGGAGGATCTGGCAACTTTTCTCTACTTACTGACAACAGCATCCTGTAAGAGAGATGTAGAAAAATTAAACAATTCATGCACAGAGCAACACTACTTGCAACAGCCAATGTAAGCTATAGCACACTACTGAGATAGAGCTGGGGCATGTCTGTCCAATGAAATAAAAAAAAAAATAACTCTCTTAAAGCTTTGGAGAAAATTATGAATATTGAATATATAAATTGCTGATATGTAATTATTGCGTTCAGGCCAAAGGAACCATGAAGCCAGAGAAGAAGATACTGCAGAGTGGCTTATGATTAGGCCTTGCTTCAGCAACACACACATCTCAAATGATTTATTTAAATAGAAGAATGATTCAGTGAATATGAATTTGCTTAGTTGATACAATTTTCTGAATTGTGGCCCTGCTGGCTGTAGCTCTGGCTTTTCCACAAAAACCCCAAAGTGAAAAAGCGTGCTGCAGCATCACTACTGCATCACAGAACACGTGACATCTGTAGTGTCCTGGTCCCTTGCAGAGCCACAGTCTGTGGCTGCCTCAGTGGCATCTGTCCAAGTTAAAACAGTCTCTGAGGATCTCTGTTTTTCTCTCACTCCTTTATTTTCCTTCTCACCTCCTTTCCTCCACATCTATTTTTTTTTTTTTTTAATAAAGAACAGGAAATATATACAATTAAGTCACTTAAGATGCTTTGTCATATCTTCTTTCATTTGCTAAGTAGCAACTTTCCCCCTTGAATGTAGGTATCAAAGCATTCAATATTTCAAATTATGGAAAAACCAAGATAAGGTAACTGTTAGTGAAGAAATGAGATAATCCTCTTAATCTTGAACTGTACCAACATACTTGATTATTTCTGTTTAATGCATTATTCATAAAAATGACAAAACGAGTACTTATGTTTCAATATATGCCAATTTATAATGACATGTATAATCTCCACTTAACAATCATTGGCTTTTTATGTTACTTTAAGCATTTTATCTTCTTTGTTCTCAAACTGATAACTTTTACCGTCAATAAAGATTTTTTATGAGAGTTACAATTATACCAAAACCAGGGATTTAGATATCCACACATACAGCTGTAATAAACACTCATTGATGTATTGGCAACATTATAGTTTAGAAAGCAGAAAGAAGCTTGGAAGGTCTTAAAATCATGTGAAGTTTTTACGCCAAATCATGAGCCACAAAGTAATCACCTGAAGTTATGCTGTGCATGTGAAAAGAGCTTTACTATGCTGAAGCTTTTCCTAAGTGACCTAGGGTTGACAACAGGGCTTTGCACTTGAGTTAAAACTCATGGAGATTATTTGTATGTTTTAATTTCAAACCCAGTGATGCTGAAAACATACACATATCAAGTTTGTTTTGAATAAAATAAAGTATATCTAAACTAAATCCTCTGGATTAAAATTAGTAGTGAAATTGAGCTTTTCCTTAGCTTCTCTATATAGGATACCCTCTGTGATCTCCTTTCAAAATTAAGTGTGTTTTCAGTGCATGTGTTTACATCTTCCTACGGATACTTCTCCAGCAGATCTACAGTCTTATTCTGAAGGAATTACACAGCTATGAACCAGCTTGCTGTTCTGGGTAGACTCCTCAGGCATTGACTGACAGTGTACTGTTGTCATTCTAAAAATCGTCACTCAGTTTGGCAAAAGGAACCTCCAGCGCTTCTCAAAAAGCAGGGAAGCTGAAAGTCAGTTCTGGTTCTGCCAAGAAAATCCCTTGGAGAGATCAGGTTTTTGCTAAGCAGACTTCCTTTTGCTTGCTCACCTCACATCAGCCAATCCCCTTCCTGGCAGAAATCATCCAGAAGTTAGGGCTAGCTGTGACACATGAGAAAATTCTGCAAGTCTGCTTTTTCCTAGAGCAGCAATTTCTTTCTGGCCTCACTTGCAAAGAAATGGTGTCATGTCAAAGTGGTGTCATGCCAAGCTTCAAGGTGCCACTGAAATAACTGTCGTGGAATGAGGTCAGGGCCTCTTTGTCACCAGAAGCTTTGGCTGCTACGACTCAGAATACAAATTCTTAGCTTGGTGGTGTAAAGGAAAAGGATGAGCAGCCATGAGAGCTGAGTTTTCAAGCACAAAACTGCTAGCTACTTTTGTCATTAAAAAAGTATGCATTAACTGCTAAGTGGTGCCCAGCGCTGTCAACTATAAGCTCATGGAAGCAGTACAAGTCTGAATAGGATCTCACCTTAGTGCTAATCTGTTTTGGGTCTTGAAGGAATTGGGTACAGCACACTGTGGACAAGGATGATAACAATGCTCCTGGGAGAGTTGCAGGCTATTACCTGGTTTTTACAGAAGGGAAAGGCAGTGCAGATTTTGAACCGGAAAGAAAGCAATCTACCACTTGAGAAAAAAACACAGGACTGTGGCATTATTTTCTCCATCAAATACATCTATTGCACTACTAGGCACAAGACTTCAGTGGGACTGGTCTAGAGCCACCTAATGCAATTTGCTTCTTCCAAGTTTCCCAATTTGCTTCTTCCAAGTCTCCATCTTACATAAGGTTACATGCACTGTGCAAAGAGATACTGGAAGCTCCTTTTTTTCTTTTTTTTCTTTTTTTTTTTTTTTTTTTTTTTTTTTGTAAACCTAAGGACATTGCAGTTACATCCTTTACACTACAGAGGAGACTTAAGACCCAAAAACAGCCTTATCCAAGTTAGAGTTAATAGGATTTCAAAGTCCTGATTTATGCCCTGCACATCAGAGAACATAAAGGAAATGAGGGTTGTAGAAGCTCAGTTTTGAATCAATGGAAGAAAAAGGTGCTGACAGCAGGAACCCCTGGCCTCTCTGCTCTGGCAAATAATGCCAGACTTGACATAACAGTAATTTCACCTCTCTTTTTCTTTCATACCATCTTCTAACCTGAGATAGGGCTTCCAAATGCTAGCAGAATTTCCCAAATCTGCTTTCACTCCTTCATTTAAAACCCAGTTCTAGTTAAACACTTTTAAAAACTGACTGATTTGGCAAGTTTGACAGACAGATAACTGGGTTAGCTGTATCATGTGATCTGAATGTTCAGCAACACAAAGCAGTTATATACATTATTAACCTTGTCAGGGAGCTGGGTTGTTAGATATATTTTTTATATTGCTTACTGAGTTCTAGTTGCTTAATCATTTCTTTTCTGTTCATATGCAAGCAACAGTATGGATTGCATTTTTTTCCCATTTTTGATATCTGAAGAAGAGAAATTAATACATTACTTTACTCCTGCTTACAGAGCTTGTGTATTTTATTATTGCTAAGCAATAAACCATTGCTCTATCCAGCACTGAGTTCTCTGATCTCTCAATTTCTGCTGTTTTTTTTTTCTTTTTTTTTTAAGATGTTGGTTGTATTTTAAAATGTAAGAAACAAAGCACAGGGGCATTGCCACAGAGGAAGATGAAAAATATATGGAATAACTGTCAAGAAGCTCCTGTAGTTCAGGGAGTCAAATGACTAGTATCAGGAAAACAGCTCTCAGAGAGGCTCTGACATTCGAAAAAGACATTCAAGGCTCATGTTTATTATTCTTACAATGGCTGGCCCTGCATAAAACCTTGCAACTTTATTCTTCATTGAGATATAAATATTTTCTGCATATTTAAGGAACTGTATAGGGAAGAGTATGGTAAAGGATTCCACAGGGGCCCCCTGCCAAACATCTTTTGTGATAAGCTTGCCTTTTAATGGCAGAAGGTTGGACACAAAGTTCTCCAAATTAGCCATTGAAGCTGCTTCACTTGTCCTCCAGACAAAGTTTCTGGAGAATGACAATAAGATTCCATCCATTTTTTGAAAGAAGAGAAAAAAGAGGGGGAAATAAAAAGTGCAACTCTCTCCCCTCTTTGGCCTAGTGCTCTCACAGAGCGAGCCTCATAGGTATTCTTATTTGTGAGAAATAAAAGCTAATATTGAACAATTGCACATACCTTATTTGTTGCATCAATAAATTTGACTCCCTTGTAAGAGACAGACAGGACAATGGTTGGTACTTTCTTCATTTGTTCTGTAGACTTCTGGAAGCAAAATGAAGATGTTGTTAGTTGTGTTACATTGCAACAGTAGTGCTCTTTTTCTTCTTTTTTTGACAAAATACATAAGTTAAACAAAAGGTACTTATTCAAACATTTGACTTTTTCTTGAGCTGGATATGCTCTGGGCTTTTGAAATAGCTGCATTGCAGATAAAAACCTAAAAAGAGCTTTACAGTTTGTTGCAAGGATGGTGAAAAGACTCCTTTTTCCTAGCATAATGGGAAGAGAATGAAATAAGTTTTTTCAGGCTTAAAACGACCAGTCATGCATCCAGGGTTTTCCCAAAAAGTGGTATGACATCTATCTCATATGCCCTATTCACTGCTGCTTCCCCTCTTCCTGCCCTTACCAGCAGTAAAAAAAAAACCAGCCTGGTACTTCTTGTAGTATTGTTTCTTTGTTGCAATTATTTGTTATTTAGAAATATTTCACCCTCTAGTCTTCTTGCAGTTCTGTTTGTGAGGTGAGGTATCCTTGCATCTCTCTAGTTCTGCCAGTCAATCTGTCAGTCCAACATTGCATCTTGTCACATCTGACCGTCTGCACGTCTTCAAATGCAGCCGCTACTGGATGCTGCTTTAAACATGAATTAGCATGGGTGCTTATTCTGCATTTCCTCAGCACCAGGTTCTCCTGCCTACAGTTCATGTCTTCCTATAAGACTATTTTTACAATGTGATGCACACAGCAAAGATATTTCCTGCT